AATTCTTTTTTCAATAAATGGATGTTTTCAAAGTAAATGTATAATAGTTTTTAATAATCGTGATATCAATTACTGACCCAAATAATCGAGATTATGATTTTTGCCATAATCGAGCAGCCCTATTTGCAACCATATTAAATAATTATTCTTATTTATTTAGAGCAAACTTAGTTCATAGAGAAGTTCAGCTAAAAATAAAAGGCTGTCTGAATTATTATCTATCAGCAGCGGCCACCTGGGAAATACAATTTCACTGTCTTATTCCTTGATAAACAAAGGACACGCACTATTAGTAGACAAACACAGGAAGGGAAGAAGAACTTCATTATCTGTTATAATGGATTGTAAACAGAATCTTTTATTAGGCTTTAGGATTTTTGCAGTAGTTCTTTATTGCAGTTATGGATTTGCTTATTTGGAGAGTATTGTCGCTAGTGTTATTAAAACAGACAATTTGATAATACAACCATTTTCAAAATGTTCCTTCAGTTGGATTAAATAACTTCTTTGTGAAAACATAACATCTGAGAAATCTATTCACTTTGAGAATTATAAGAATATTTGTTATTATTTATTCATTCTGTTCTCTATGTGCTCTTACTGTCACAGTCCCACCATAAAGTAATGCTCAATGCATCAAACCAAAATAAGGCAACTGTAGATTTTCCATTTGGCTCAAAGACATGACTGTTAAAGGGAAACAGACTAGGCTTTGATTACATCTGGTTTATTTCAAACCAGGTGAAGAGAACCATGGTCTTCTGTTTTGTCTGTGGAATGCAAGTGTTCTTCTTTAACTCTAGAAGAGTGATTGTGAACGATACCCCTGCAGCTTTTCAGCTATAGCAACAAAACATACATTACTTATGACTTTCTTTCCATTCCTGTGTCTCCATGTTTGACCCGTGTGCCTTCCCTCAGAGGGCTCAAAGGCAATAAGGTCAGTGGTCAGTGGGGATTGCAGGTCTGGTGTCGGAGCAAGTGGCATGGTGATGGATGGGAGTAATCTCACGGTTGTCACAGAATCACAAAACACTTTACTTGGTGGAGCGGAGAATACGAAACCTTTTGCTGCGTTAGGTGAGTGAACACGAAATTTATTATAAATTTACATAAACATAATAATTCCTAATGCTCTCTCTATTTATATACCTTGTTTACCCTATGCTGTACATGTATTATGTATATACACAATGCACTGTATGTTGCTACCATTACAAAAAGCCATGCAATATCTACAGTACAGTATATGGTGTATCTATGAAACCTACTTTCAATAAATAGTAATAAATTATCCACCTCTTGTTTTTGTACATTCTATTGCACATATTATTTACATTACTGCTTTGGGTTAACATTTTCCCTTTTTCATCATGACCTGATGTCAGTTTTAGCTGCATTTGTTGAATGTCTACCCTAAAAATAAGGAATTCCTTCACTCCACATCCTCAGAAGACAGACATTTCTGTCGGGCATCTTTGTCCTCAAATGTCACCTTTTTGTTCCTCTTTGGGTCGATCCAGGAGTTGTGGATAATGGCATTATTAGGAGTGGGATCTGCCTCAATGATTGACACTACTCGCTTCTTCATCTTGCTTTTCAAGACTTTCTGGAACTTTTGCCTAGTGAAGGCATACAATAAAGGGTGAAAGATAGTGGTCCCATAAGCCATGACCAGGAAGCCAAGTCTTAACTTGACCATTAGGTCACTGGGGCCCACACTCAGGATGACTGTGTTGAGCACTGTGATGGGTGTCCAGCACAGCAGGAAGGTAGACACAATCAGGAGGGACATCCTGAAAACCCTCTTTTGGCGCGCTCTCCTTTCTCTGTGGCGCTTGACAGCCCTTCGCAAGGCGATGATGAGTGAGACGGAGGTACGCATACCCAGTGTGGGCATGCGGCTGCCACTGCTCTGTGATGTATCTGTGGCCTCCTGCTGTGGTGTCATGGCTGTCATGGATGGATTTTTCCTGCGAGCCTTCTTCTTCTGTGAAGCGTGGAAACGCGTGCCAATGCGAATGTTGAGAGCCTGCAGGATCTTTGAGTAAGTGATGAGCATGACAACGACAGTAAGGAAGAAAATAGGAATCTGAGCCAGCAGGTGGTAATACAGGTCAAGTTCTGTGTAGTACTGGTTAGTGTGGACCACATTCTCCACCACTGTCTGGTTCAGATCAGCTTGGCCCTGGGCGAAGAAACCCACCTCAATAAATGGTACCAGGAAGCTAATGAAGGATAACACCCATATGCCAGCCAGCAGGGTCAGGGCACGGCCCATTGTCAGCACCCGGTTGGCTGGTTTGACTGAAATGTCGTAGCGATCAAGGGTGATAGCCAGCACATTAGCAGCAGTGGCGACGCTAGCGAAGGAGACACAGGCTTCATGGAAGCAGCAGACGAGTGCAGTGTCTCCCTCCAGGGAGAGCAGCACAACCACAATGGTGAGAGGGATGCAGCACACACAGATGAGCACATCCAACACATGAAGGTTCATAGTGACAATGTTACTGACAGAACTAATGAGGTTTGACTTCATACAGTAAAGGGCAAGCACAGTGAGGTTAGAGCTCAGGCCCAGGAGGATCTCCAACATGAGGAAGCCAGTCAGGGAGACCTGGAAACTAACAGGATAGGGGTACGGGCCGGGAGTTGCCGGACTCATGGTGCGGCTGATGGGCTCGGTGTTGTCGGTGACCGTGACGTTGCTCATGGTGGCTTCTTGTTCACAGCAGGGAAGGATATGCATTATCCTGTGTGTTGGGAGAAGAAAGGAAGATAAGTTATAAAGGGGGGGAAAGTAAAAGGAGAATCTTTGAAGTGTGTTGTGGCATCTCTGGAAAATTGTGATTAACACACATCTGAGAAATCTTGTCAGATGTAATGGTGCCAGTTATCAAACGATTAGAAAGCCTTTTGTGATTTAAAATGAGAAATGCTGAGAGCAGAGCTTTAATAGTGCTGGAACTTTTTTTCTGCCATGCCCTGCTGATTAGATTTCCTCACTACGCACATGGGACGACTAGTAACTATCATGCCTTAATCAGCTTCTTCGTCTTTTATCACCATCCTTGATCAGATGGTTTTATCCACAGTGCTTCATAACAGAAACACTTTGGAGCAAATTAAAGTCTAATCACCTCTTAGCCGTGAAGGCTTAGCAGACTACTGTATGTTAAGGCTTTGAAGTGGCTAGTTGTGGCATAGTGCTCTTTAGGGCTCTTCTGAACTGAACATTAACACTGACATTGTTTTAATATATTAACCTTTACTGTAAATATACTAAATGTAGACCAGAAGTTCTGAAGGCAATGATGGAGAAGGATTATGTAAACCCTATTTCGATGGGATTCATTTTATAGGGATGAGATGAGTAAAATGAGTGCGATGGTGTTACATAAGAAACTTGTCATTTCTGGCAGAAACTTAGTCAAATTATGATTACTACGTCACCAGCAGGCTTCCAACTCTCAGAGATGTCTGTTCAGACAGGACTTCAATATTTCATGTAATAACGTGTGCACGAAAATAACCGTTGGTATTTATAATTAATAATTGGTTCAGGGTAAAAAAAAAAAAAGACATTTACTTCAAAATAAATGGAAATCAAACAACCTACACCAATTCAATCTGAATAGAGGTCTAGATGACATGGAGAAAAACAAATGTTTATTTTAATATTTACCCTTGCCTCCAGCACTATCTGAGTATCAGGGCTGTGTAATCAGGCCATAGAGTCCATGTTGCATCCACTGAGACGATCATCGCATCCAAACATAGCTAGTGGAAGTGTTTCCGCTCCAGCAGAGCCCCAAAGCGAGGCTTTTCCCTTTTACTGCTAGTCCCTCCCCGTGAGGCTGACAGCCAAAAAAACACCTGTCCGTCGCGCCAAAGAGCTGCCAGCTTTTTCTTCCTGACCTCAATGGTAAGAAAGCTAAGGAATCAGTCAAATACAGGCAGTGGATTTCAGAGAATAATTTATACGCTAGTGTCCTCTGCAGATTTTTTCTGTCCTCTGGTACATTTGCTTTGGTGTTGGTGTGAGCTCTGATGGATGAGTGGAACAGGGATAAGATGTCGGAGCCACCTCCTGTTTATGATCATGATATTCCCAGGCAGGAGAAAAAAATCCAACCAAGAAAACAAAGAAATACAGACCCCTCAGCAGGGCTGGAATGTACTGCTCATAGTATTATGATCCAAATCCTTGCCTTTTTGCTTTTTTTTGTCCTCAGTGAAAAGATATTATGAAGCTCTGTAAACACAGTACAAGAGTAACATCCATTAGGTCGTACTCCAAGAGGCAGAGTTTGTCAGTTGCACATGAAGTGTTCTCGGTGTAAACATTATGATGTCCAGAAATCAGTCCGGGCAGCATCCAGGCCGAGGTCCCCCCTCGGAGCACTAATGGAAAAGATCTTCGTTCTCCATGTTTGTCATTGTCTCTGTACGCATGGCTCCAGATGCCACTGACTTGTTAATCCAGCAAAGGTCCCCAGTTTTCCCCTCGACATGCTGATCCCTAAGTCACTGGAGATGGCGTGAGTGGAGCAGATTATTAGAGAGCATGCGAGACCAATCACCATGACATGTGTTTTTATACGTGCATGGGATAGGGGTTGAATCAGCAATTCGCGGGGAAGGTCATCCTCATGAGATAGGAGTGAGTTAATCAGATGAAAAGCCTGTATAGATTTGCAAGAAGATCCCAGACAAGAGTTGGACTTATCAGGCGCTGCGTACAACACTGTCTGTCCTTCAATGCCACATATTTCTCTCACAGTGACCTAAAGAGAAAAGATAAAGTGGATGATGGAGAGGGAGATGGGAAGAGAGCAAGTAGGAGAGGGAAGAGTGGGGGATGCGTTAGTGAAAATAAACATATCCTGAGCAGAGAGGCGACGAGGAGGGTCTCATTAGCGTAGCAACAAGCCCCTGATGGTTTATCATGTTCCTGTGCATCGCTTGATTCACTTTACATCTTTGTAATTGCATTAACATAACAGTAGTACTAATAAAGGGCTGGCACAATGGCAACTGATACACAAGCCTCCTGATTTGAGATAGCATATCAACTATAATATCTTTCTATGCTTGTTGTTTTTAAATTATTAGAGGAAATTGCTTAATGATAATTATTGAATGTCACTTCAAAACCCTCAGTGGTGCTGACAATGGTCCTACAATGTTCTTGATAGGCCAGACCCGCTAAGGACTTTAGTGCAATGTGATTCCACGGGGAACTTGTCTTAAGGACATGGATGCCCCCCCTTGTATCACAATATGTGATCCGTGTTATTCTCTTCAGAGGAGCAGGTCGGTCATTCTCCAAGGTTGTTTCAGTGAGGGATGCCATACTTAACTGTGCCACAATGACAGCAGAAATGATCAATGACACCACGCTACAGTACCAGACAGGTTATGATACACCAGGCGTGTGTTGAAGAGCCAAGGGTACATATCAAGTTTGTTATCAGCCTGACACTTTGGAATATAGTACATGTGTTTATCTGTAAGATACAAACAGATGCTATCACAGTATGTAAAGCATCCTAATGCATAAACGAAAAAATGCATTTTAGAGTTTGATGTTTTCAGTAACAGCTACTTGGATTTACAAGATTAAGACCAAATATATATTATTAGTAACAAATACGTTACTCAACCGTTTCTAAAAAAAGTCAGCATTACATTATGAATGACAGTATATAGGAACCACTAGTTTCCAATCACATGTGTTGGTTGTGGTGGAGATGTTTGGCATTGAGTTATGTTAGCTGTCACATTCTACTCGGATTAGTGCTGTAAATCAAACCAATAAGTAGAGTGCCCCATCAAAACACAGCGGAGCTCACCATGCAGGGTAAACACAGATGCCTTGGAGTTGGTCCCTACACCACGCTGTCCCCTCTCAGTGCAGCTCTGCAACAATCCAGGTTGCCCGATTGAAACTGCTGGTTGATCTTCTGCTCATTCCAGCAGTAATCCAACAATTTGAATTGAATATTGACGAACATACAAGGGTCACACAAATGACAGATGTTCTTTCCCACCGGAGTCCCACACAGAAACAGCAAAAAGTCCATAGAGATTAGTCCTGACAGGGATGTTGTATTCTTCTTTTTCTCCTTTTTCTCCTTGTTAATTCTTATCCATCCATATGGGCAGGTTTGTGAATACTCATCACAGCAACTCTCTGTTGCGCTGCCTCTCTTCCTAACTGTCTGGATAGGAGTGCAAACCATCCCACTCCTGGTATCTCTCTATCTCCCGCTCTGCTCTCTCCTCTCTCTCCCTCTCTCTCTTACTGCGGAGGTTTGCAGTGCTCCTCCAGTCCTGATTGGTCTTCTGTAACAGGCTTAACCCTTTACTCGCCGGCGAGGGGAGGTATTTCCTATTGTTCTGACTCTATCCTCTCTTCGCTGACAGTGACTCTGTGACCACCCAGTTGTGGCTGTAGTGATTTGCAACAAAAAAAAGCTTCTACTACGATTTTGCACGGGTCTTTAGATGACACTGCGCTTAGCACACAACCTGCTGCAGAGGCAGACTGCTGAAGGAAAAACAGCAGAAAATACAGCAGTACAGATTGATTTATTAATTAGCTCAATGTAATGGACAAGTAATGTGTTTGTGCACCGTAGGGGGATTGATGAGGATAGAGGGCAAGCTGAGGGAAAGAATATTTTTGTTGTATTCATTTTGGACACACTTGGGTCTTAATGTGCGAGTGAGTTTGAGAGGCAGCAAGACTGTCATCGAGGAGATACATTTTCGCAGCTGTGAATTGGAGAAATTGATTATGCAGGAGATAATGAAAGTCAGAAAAGAAGAGATCGAGGATAGTGGCTTTCTGATTGATAGTTTCAATTAAGTTGCTCGGTCAGATCAGAAAGCGGTTGACCACCTTCCATTCCTTTGTCAAGGCTCATTTGTCAGGTACAATTATTGCCAGAGGGCATCTTGGGACCTGCTAGCCTCCAGTAAAGAATAAAGGGGCATCTGTCGCACTGGCAGGGCTACTTGATAAACAAATGATTACAGCCAACAGAAAATAAATCAGGTTTATTCTGATGGTGGCAGTTTGATCATTGCAATTTGCCAGGCAGATGTTTGTCTTCAAGGCATTTCTAAATTGACTTGCTGCGCCGGAACAAGGATCAACATTTTACAAGGGTTTTATGAGCTACTACCTTGGCAGTGAGGAAACAGCTTGTTCCCTTGGTGCTGTACCAATGTAATACACATTTGAGGTCAAGGGGAAAACCTCAATCACACCCTGGTATTATTGAGGGCATCGGATTCCCCAGATCATAGAGACACGCGCGTCTCTTTCACTTGACAATACGAACACCACCACTTATAGGGGGATTAGGAAGGGAAAACATGTACTCTAATTCTCAACTGATCTTAATGTTGCATGTTTCGGTGCTTGGCATTCACGTCCAGAGGAATTGCATGAAAAAAAAGCTTCTCCTGGTTTGAGTGTGTGCAAAGCTTTTGTAAATATCTGATTTTGTGCCTTTGGGACACAAGCATGCAATTCCTTAGGATTGCATTTTCGTGTCCTGCTTCTATGTATGCACCCAATATCAAGTACCTGTTTCCTGAATGAGATCCATCTGTATGCCTCTGGCTGTCAGAATATAATCATACAGCACATCAGTTCAAAACAGATTTTTCTGTCACTGTCTGCAATTCAAGGTTTCCTAACTGTGGGTTTCATGAGAAGCTTCCTGAAGTCAGTAGAAAGGGGACATGTTATGTACTCTTTATGAAAAGACAGGACTGACCACTTGACAGCCCTCTCACTGCTATTTAGGAATCCTCTTAGTTTAGAGAAGGGTTAAAAACTGCCACAAAAACACTGCATTCCCAATATTTCTGAAGAATGGTGTAAATATTTCATTCCCATTAATATTTCATTCGGCTTTTTCAATCTATCCCTAGACTCCACTGTCTGATATTCACTACAGTTTTCCTCCCCCTTCACTCTTGAGTGCCTGTAGATGTCCATGGATATGCTCTGTGTGTACATGTCAAAGTGTGTGCGATTCTTTGCAAATCCAATACTTATTGCACACCTTCCGTGGTTTATAAGTCAAAGAGGATAAAAAAAGATGCAGATGTGCCGTCAGTAACCATCTTATTTCAAGCCCATGCTTTGTATGCCAAACATCAGCAGGCAATTTTGGTCACTGAGGACCCAGCACTCAGACTTTTATCTCCTCTCTGCAGCCGGGACCTGAACTTCCATTTGGTGCCACTGTGATTTGCTCAGGATTGCTCTGGAATAGTGCAAGCCCAGCGCTGATGGAATAGCTGCTTTCAAATATTGAAGTGGTCTGCTGTCATCTGATCGATTTAAATTGTCCTTTTCCCAGACCCTGAAAAACCCCTGGTCCAAACACACATGGGGTGTTTTCTCAATCGCGAGAAAAGCTGCTCCAGAGCCACTAGTTCAAGCATACTATGTCATCGAGTGCCGCCGAAGTACTGTTCCAATGTCCAGCAGACTTGGAAATCTACCGAGCACGGCGTACTTTGTTTGGAGAAATTTCGAGGCTGCACATATGTAGACTCTGCGGTCTTCAAATCCCCCACAATGCTTTCTCCAAATCTGTGGCGGAAAATGTAAGACGGGACCTCTCATATGACGCACACCTGCACACTTGCTAGCCTGTTCCACTCTTTGTTTTCCGAATGCCAGGAAGTATTCTTGCCTCGCTTCTGAAGCAAGACGCTCGGAAGACATGTGCTACCAAGCAAGCGTACTCGAGATTGAGAAACACCCATGGACTTAGGCAGTCATACAGGAATTGAAAAAGGAAAAACAAGGTCTCTTGAGATGCTCCTATGTTGATTTCAGACAAGAAAGAGACAGAGAAAAAAATGGAGGACCATATTCTAAGGTCCTCTGGTTCTGGTTTTATTACAGGGCAGTTTGCTTTGGCCTCAGTCCCATTGAGAGCCCTTTACATTCATGCTCAGTAAGAGATGGAAGTACCTTCATCGAATAAAATACTAGGAGAAGAAAAGAAGCCCATCTTCGCCTCCTCCCATGTTGAACAATGATGAGATGGATGAGCAGCAGCTAATAACGAATTGCAACATCCATCATAAAGGAAATGTTAACGGTCCTCTTCGATCCCAATACAGGTTCATTAGTGCTGAAGTCGCTTTATTAGTGTGTGACATTTAGTGCAGTACATTGTGAAAGGGAAATACAGTTCATTTGGTTACACAAAAAAGTAGAGCCCTCAATATATTGTGTAATTAGTTTTCAATTATGTCATACACTTGTGGAATATAGAGGTGTTACAATGTAATTAAAAGCAGGAAAAATAGGAACTAATATAGAAGAAAAGTCTGTAAAGGACAAATATTGTATTGGAGAAAAATGGTCATTTACTAGATACCAAAGAGGCCATGGGTGTAATATCTTGTGAGCGATAACATGCGACAAATTCCATAGTAATCATCTTAATTATTTACATAATTAATTATCTTAATGACACTGCTTGCATTTGACTTCTATGTGTACAATAATTATTGCCAAATGCAGCTTCAACCTATCAAGCTTTGTCTAATGCAGGCTTTAGACTACACAGTATCAGCTTGATAGTTCCTATTTTATTGGTATTTACTTGGACTATTTTATCTGTTTTATTGTGTTGCACTGTTGGAGGAGCCTGTGACCTAAGATTTTCATTGACGTATCTACACTATAGCTGATGTACATATAACAATAAAAGCCTTGAATCTTGAATAGTTGATGAACCTGAGGGGAGGTTGGGTTACGTGAACAAACCTAACCATTGAGCAAGACCAAAGCTTGTTGTTGTCAAAGCAACCATCACAGCATAAGAGACACTGTGACGTCCCGAAAGAAAGACTAACTTGTCAGAATTGTTTTGCCTCATTTCACCTCAATTGACGACTGTTTTTTGGACATTGGCCCAAACTATAAATACAACTGCATTATGATGGGGTTATTGGTTCCGTTATGTGACACATCCTTTCTTTGAACCAAAGAGTGTTATCTTTCCTTCATGATGTACGGAGACAACAAAACCTATGGTGACGTCTTATCCAGAGTCTCCAAACATTGCAATAGTATTTCTATAGTGAGTGATTTGAGTGCCTGTGGTGGTCAGCAGTTCGTTAGTAGCCTATTTGGGCACATTGAGACCTATTTGTCAAAGTTCAATCTGGGAAACATTCAAAAATAAGAATACATTGTATTGCTCATTTCAGAGAAAACCCTTTTTATCTTCTTACCCTTTTTGTCTTTACTAACAGTAACAACATGCTTTTTACACAACCTCACTACAGCAGACTACTTGGCCCTTTAGTAACTGGCTGGGCTTTTGAGTGTGATAAGAAGTGCAAAATACTTATTTACCCCCGAGAGGCCGGTGCTGCCATGTTTCTGCAACCGTGTTGAATTACCTTTTTAAAAAAGAGTATTTTGATTGCCTATCTTTTATAAAGTGCACCTTACATATACAGCTTATCATTTGCTGTAATATTCTTAGTTCATGTCATTTAATGCGTTTTATTGTTATAGTTCTCTCTCTCTCTTTCTCTCTCTCTCATATTTAAGGAATAGTCCTGCCTTCTGTTTCGGTTAGTTATGAGCTCTGCCTTCTGCAATTGATTTACAGTCCTTGTGGTATTGCGTGTCAGTAAGGTTAGAGCCATATTGTCAAACTAGGTGTAGCCAGCTGTTTAACCTTGACCATGAGGCTAGGGATTGAAAATGTAGCCTTTTCAATCCCCAACATCAAACCACACACTCGCCTGGGATGCATTCTTTGCTGTTTCCTGCTGTACTGTGACCTCCTCACTTTTCTCTGTCACGGAGACAAACAGCTTCTTTTCCATCAGCGCCTCAGAAGTCGGCCACTTCCTGTCAAGGCGCAACATTTGTTTACGTAAGTCATGTCAAAGAGCATCGGCCAAGGCGTGGGAACGCAAGGCAGTGCGCGGGGGACCCCACACTCACCCACAGGGAGGTGCGAGTGCACTGGAAGGCTGAATCGTGGGGAAGCACGTAGAGGACAACCACACACTATGCAGATAAACACACAAATGCAGGCTCCTCCCTACAGGCACTCGGCCATCAGAGCACTCAGTGTTTGTCATCTCATTTCATCTGTTCATGTGGCGGCCCTGGGGAGTTCATGTTACAGGAAAAGCCACAGTTTTCTTAA